TTATTTTACTTTTTCTATTGTGATTTCTACTGTTTGTCATGGCATAATTTTTATTGTGATTTCTACTGTTTGTCATGGCATAATTTTTCGTAGTTTATCTAGGGATTGCAAAATACACACTTAACTTTTCAGTCTGTATAGAATCAATCTGTTACTTCTTCAATATGAATGTATAAACTATACACCATATATGTCACTTTATACTTCTCTCTCCATGCTATATTTGTCTTATATATTACATCTATATGCATTGAGGATCCCATCGTACAATGTTATACAATGTTAATTTTTTTTTGCTTTGTAGCATCCGACATGTTTTAAAGGGCTAAAAAATGCCAAAAAACCTGTTATATTTATCCAGATATTTACCATTTCTGTTGCACTTCCTTTAGCTTCCTCTGGTACAATTTCTTTTCTATATAAAGAAATTCTTTCAGCATTTCTTTTAGTGAAGGTTTGCCAGCTACAGATTCTTGGTTTTCCTTCACTGAGAAAGTTTTTTATTTCAACTTCTTGAATGATGGATATTTTAGCTGGGTATAGAATTTAGGTTAGCAACTCTTTTCTTTCACTACTTTAAAAATGTTGTGCCATTTTGCTAGGGCTTCTATGGTTTGTGGTAAAAAATATTCAGTCATTTGAATCATTGTTGTTCCCTTATAGGTAATGTATCATTTTTCTCCCATTACCTTCAAGGTTTTTCTTTTTCATAATTTTTAGCAATTTGATTATTTTGTGTCTAGATGGGGTTTCATGGTTGTATCCATTTAGGATTTGCTCAGCCTCTTGAATCACTGAGTTAATGATTATAATCAACTTGGGAAACTTTCAGTCATAATTTTCTCAAATACTTTTTTAGGCCATCTGGAACTCCAATAACTTGAATATTATTAGGTTTGTTTGTTTGTTTGTTTCTTTTTATACACAGGTCCCTTATATTCTTATTCCTTTGTTCTTTTCTTTTCTTTTTTTAAGCTGAGCTATCCTGCCACCTGTTGGCAGCCTAGCGGCAGCTCAGCTCAAACCAGCAATTGAACCGCTGTTGCTCAGAGCTCAAACTCTCGCATAAGCTCTTAACCAACTGAGCCACTCGGCTGGCCCCTTCCTCTGTTCTTTCTTTTCAATATTTTGTTTCTCTGTTGTTCTTATTGGATGATTTCTATTGATGGGTTTTTGAGTTTATTGACTCTTTTCTCTATCATTTCTATTCTTCCATTCAGTGAGGAATTGTTGTTGTTGCTGCTATTGTAGTTTTCAGTTTTAAATTTTTTACTTGATTCTTGCTTGTATCTTCTATTTATTTGTTGAATTAGTCTATTTTAACATCTATTTTAAGATTGTGATTATTCATTCAGCATTTTTATAATAGATAATTTAAGAGAATTCCAACATCTGTGTCACTTCATCCTTCAGATCTGTTGATCATCTTTTTCTATGTGAGTTGAGGTTTCATGGTTATTTGTATGTTGGTTGATTTTAGTTTGTATCTTGGACATTGTGAATATTGCTTGAGACCCAGAATCTTGTTTATATCCTATGGAGGTTGATATTTTTGTTTTACCCTTCTGTATTGTGGTTCCAAAATCAGTTTTCAAAACTTTTGTGGTACTATTTAGATCAGTTCTGAGTGTGCACCACCTAGTGGTCAGTCTGGGATTTAGGTGGAGGTTTACTTGCTAGTTCAGTTTCCAAATCTTTGGCATAATAAGTAGAATCAGATCAAAGCACTCGCAGGTCAGAAGTGAACCCAGAGGTTCAAAACAACTTCATGCAGTTGCTTTTCTAAACTGTTCACTCTGGGTTCCAATTTTCTGCCCTCTGTTCAGAAACCACCCACTGTCTCGGTAGTACCATTTCCATGAACAAGTTGCAGGAGGAAAGAAAGAGGAAAAACTAATATGAAGTTTAGTTTTGTCCTTTTGAGGCCATGGCTCCACCACAGAAAGGATCTCATTCCTTAGTGTTTTGATTTCTAAAGTTTCACAATATAAACCACTCTTCCTTCTGGGCTGCCTTTGCTGTCACTACCTCTACTGTGGGACCAAAGAAGAAGTACAGTAAATAAAAACCTGAGAGATTTCCCATATTGTTTTTGAAGTTTAGGAGTTCCCTTTTCTACTCCTCAGGCCAGAGCTTCAAGGCTTCTCCTGTATTTCACTCTGTCTACTAAATAATGATCACTGCTGGGTTCCATGTTATTTTCAATTCAAGCTCAGGATGCTGGAGGGAAAAAATGTTGAACTCACAACCCTTTAGGCAATATTTCAGACTCTGATGTTCTGCCCTGATCCACCTGCCTATATTTACTTTTCAGTTTTCAAACAAGTGTCTATACACCCTATCAATGTTTTATATTTGAGTTAGTGCAAGATAAAAGATGATCCCAGAACTGGACCCAGCTGTGTGTGTGTTGTAGACAGCGTATAGTTGGGTCTTGCTTTTTTTTTAATCCAATCTGACAATCTCTGCTTTTAGTTGGTGTGTTTAGACAATTTTAAATTCACATTTAAAATGATTATTGACATAGTTAGATTAAAATCTACCATTCTGCTACTGTTTTCCATTCACTGCATTTGTTTTTTGTTTCTTTTTTCTCTTATTTTTGCCTTTTCTCATTTTATGAGATTCCATTTTATCTACTATGTTTACTTCTTTATATGTCTTTTTTATTTTTTTACTTTTTCAGTGGTCCCCCTAGGGTTTAAAATATACATTTTAAAATTAGTTGGGTTCACCTTCAAATAACACTATATTGCTTCACAGGTAGTACAGATACCTTAGAATATTCCCAATTCCTTCCTCCATTTTCTTGTGTCACTGTTGTATTCATTTCGTTTTTACATATGCTATAAGTACCCAATACACTGTTATTATTGTTGTCTTAAACAGTTATCTTTTAGAACAACTAAGAATATGAAAAATAAAAAAATATATTTTGCTTTTATTCCTTTTCCAGTACTCTTCCTTTAATTATGTAGATACCATTTTCTGACCTATATCCTATCTCTTCCGCCTAAATAATGTTCTTTAATATTTCTTATAAGGCAGGTATGCTGGTGATGAATTTCCTTCTATTGTTGTTTTTTTGGTTTTTTTGTCAGAAAAAAGTCTTTATTTTGCCTTCATTTTTGAAGGATGTTTTTGCTGAATTTTGAATTCTGGATTGGCAGGGATTCTTTGCTTTATTTATTATTTTTTTTCTTTCAATACTTTAAAGATTTCATTCCACTGTATTTTTGCTTGTGTGGCTTCTGACAAGAAGTCTAGTGCAATTCTTCTCCATATTCCTCTCTAGCTAAGGTGTTCCCCCACCCCACCCCCTTTTTCCTGGCTGGCCTCAATATTTTATTTCTGTCTGATTTTCTGCAGTTTGAATTCAATATGCCTGAGTGTGATGTGGTTCTTTTAAAAATATTAGTTACCCTGCTTGGTTTTCTCTGAGATGTTTTGATTTCTGATTTGCTATCAATTGCTAATTTTGGAAGATTTTGGCAATTATTTCTTCAAATAATTCTTCTTCCACATTCTCCTTGTAATATCCTAATTACACATATGTTACACTGTTTGAGAGTGTCCCCAAGTTCTTGAATGTTTTGTGCTGTTTTCTTTTTTACTCTTTTTTCTCTCTGTGTTTCAGTTTGTATATTTTCTATTGATCTATCTTCAAGTTCACCAATACCTCAGCTGTGTCAAGTTCTCCAATAAACACATTAAAGGCATTCTTCAGATCTATTACTGTGTTTTTTGTCTTTGTATTTACATTTGATTCTTTCTTATATGTTCCATCCCCCTGGTGAAATTACCTATCTGATCTTGCATGTTGTCTACCTTTTCCAATAAAGCCTTTAACATAGTAATCATAGCTATTTCAAATTCCTTGTCTGATAATTCCAAAATGTGTCTCATAACTGAGTCTGGTCCTGATGATTTGTTTGTCTCTTCAGACTGTGTTTACTTCTTGCCTTGATTCTTCCCTTTGTGCTTCTCTCTGGAGACAATATATTTCGTGCATCTTTTAAAGATGTAGTCCATTATTGTTTTGCTCATTTTGTTTTTTAGCCTGGTAGTGGGGAATAGAAGATGAAGGGCATTCTAAGCTATTTTAATTAAGCATCAGTCTTAGAAAGGCTTACCCTGAGTCTTAGAGGTGTAACCTTCCCAAGTGTTCCTCCCCCTCCTTTAAATATAATGATGAGCCTAGCACATATTTATGCCCCTCCTGGATTAGAGCATTTTTTTACAGTTTTCTTCTCCAGTTGTACTGAATTTCCACCAGTGCTCTCAGTTCCTGTTTGCCTTCCATCTGCAGATTAAGGCTTACTTTCCTTAAGGGAGATAGAGAAGTTTGGTCTGGGCAGAATTTCAATGGTGTTGACCACTCCTCTCTGCCAGCTTTAGTGAATTTCCACCAGTGCTCTGAAGCTACAGTTTTAATGTCTTTCCCCATGATGACTAAGGCTTTTGTTCCAAAGTGTATATAGGGATAATGGTCTGGGAACACTTTCAGCAATGGCTGCTGTTATGTTTCCGTCCCCAAGCCAGAACCACAGGATATCTTTCTCAGGATTCTTCTCAGCCTTTCCTGTCAGCACTTTTCTAGGGGAAAAGTATGCAAGACGATTCAAAACCACCTATGTCTGCAGCCCCCAGGGTCTTCACATTCTCACACTAGCCCACAACCAACCCTTAGCAATTCATTAACCATTTTTAGCTGAATTTTCTTAGGAATTTATGTGTTGTTCACTAGTATCTGCAAAAGATAAATATCTGGGCCCTGTTGCTCCCTGCAGATGCCTGTCTATACAGATTTTAGGTTAGCTATTTGCACTGCAATCTCAGTTTTCTGGTGAATTCAAGAAAAGTCAATTTGCAATTTTACAGGATTTTTTTCTTGTTATAATGGTGGTAGAGATGATCCTTCCAATTCTACATCCCTGAGCTGATACCAGAAGATCATATGAACATAGAGATAAACTTTTGAGGCTCTGTTTGTCTTCCAGCATCCATACCCCAGTTTACCAATTCCCCCACAATGGTGATTATGGTGGGTTTACCAGCTCGAGGAAAGACTTACATCTCTACGAAGCTCACCCGATATCTCAACTGGATAGGAACACCAACTAAAGGTATGTCTCTGAAACCTTTTGTTCTACAGCCCCCTAGAGGCCACTGGCTGAAAACAGAGTAAGGTAGCCAGCCTCAGAAGGGACAAAGACCTCAGTACCAGCAATATCTCAATTATTACCAGTATTAGGACTATAATTATTACTATTACTGCTATGACTATTACCACTACACTCTTAAAAATTTTAAATTTCTTGAGCACATACTCTGTGCCCAATCTCATGCTAGGTGCTAGGCAGAAAAACTACTAACTTTAAATCTCTTTTCTCAAGGAGTTCCATTTTTGTAATACCTCACAACAACCCTATGTGCAACATTATTTTTATTACTATTTATATTATTACCACACCAATATTACTATTTTCGTTAGCCTTACCATTTCCTCACAACCTTAAGGTTTTCTTCAAACCTTAAGAGCATGTGGAATCAAGCTTCTTGAAGCTGCAGCCCAGAGGGCTCTAGAGAGTTTTCACTAAACTTGAATACCTTAGCTCACCTCGACATCTTTAGTCCAGAAGGCGTCTGCTCTGTCCAAGACTCTCTTTAGGTCAGAGGCTCTCAGCTAAGCCCTCCCCAACCAGAAGTGGTCCTGCCCCTTTCCACCTTTAGAAAGGGCTCCTTCCCTGCTTGTCAACCCCTCCCCCGCCTTTCCATCTTTCCATTCTCCTCAGTGTGGTGTCTTTTCTGTTTACTACCCCTTACTCAGCATCATTCTCTCCTACTCTCCAGCTGATTTCTCCCCACCCTATATCCCCATTCCTATTTGATTCCTCTGTTTCCTCTCAGAGAAACATGCTGCTCTGAGCTCCCACACCAACGCTCGCCACAGCCCCCTCTATGCCAACACTAGTTACATAGTGTGTTGCTGTAGTGTGTGTGTGGGGGGAGTCTCTCTCCCCAGGAGCTGCTCTGGGGGGCAGGGAACTAGGTCATATTCATTTCTGTCTCTCAAGTGTGACAAGACTAAAACTAAACACTAAAGAATAAGGTGCCCCCACATCAAAATCAATTCAGAATAAAAACGGTAAATGTAAGAAAGCCTACCAATAGTTTTTATTTATTCCCTGATGACTATACTGATGCTTTTAAAGAATATCAACATAGCTGATTTTTTGGGGGACCATGTTCCTCCTTTACTTCCGCACTAAGCAAATACTTAGTCTCTCTCTTCTCTCTCTCTCTCTCTCTCAATGGAGCACTGCTCCCCAGCACAGAATACAGGTTTCCTCGGGCATTCATTTATTAACTCAATCATCAAATATTTGTGAGCACACGGCTGTGCCAAGGTCCTTGTTGGATGTTGGGCAAACAAAGACAAATAAGGTAGGGTGCGTGTCCTCAAAGAACTCGCATCTATTCTTAAGTTCTAAAACAACCATGAAGGAGGAACTAATATTATCGTAATTTCACAGTTGATACAATTAATGTCCAAGAACTTGAAGTGCCTTGTCTAAAGGCACGTGACCAGTAAGTGACAGAAGCAGGATATGAGCCCACATCTGGCTGATTCCAAAGCCGGACGCTCACTGTGCTAGGGCTGCTACTTGGCTCTACTGATGGGAAGAGAAAGGAACCCCATATTGGCCCTGTACTCTCCTTTTCTCCGTTCTCTGCCTCTCCTTTGTCTTGCCCATCTTAACACCCTTATCTATCTGCCCCCTTCCCTCCCTCTCTCCAAGTCTTCTCCTCTCTTTCTCCTATGTCTTATTTCCATTCATGTACTTTATATCTTTCTCTAATGCACCGGTGAAGAGTTTCCCAATGGTTTCAAATGTGCCAAAACCTGAGCTAGGCATTGGAGATGCAAAAATGGATGAGATTCAAACCCTGTCCTTGAAGAGTCCTTCATTTAACTGGGATGCATAAGAATACATCATGTCACCTAGGAATCCCAGAGCAGGGTACTGAGGGAGCTCAGAGAGGAAACCACCTACAGGAAGGCACTGACAACTTCCAGAAAGGGTATATTTGATCTGGGTCCTGTGGGAGGAGTAGGACATTTGCAGAAAAGAAGGGGAGAAGAGAAAGTTCTCCTGGAGGACTTCAGGCTCTTAGGAGCTCCTCCTCAGCGTAGGGGCCCAGGGCCCAGTGGCGGATTGGTCTCTGCCCTAATGTGCCTGCTTCCCATCTGCTTTGCTCCACTCCATTGTCATGTAGGCCCTCACAATCATATTTCGAAGCACAAAGCTGACCATACCTACAGCCTCTAAGGGTGCTCTTGGCTGCAAGCTTAAATCCAAGCTCCTTAGCCTGTCGTTCAAGGCCCTCCACAATAGGCCCCTGCCAGTCTCTCAGGCCTCAGGCTCAGTGGGTGACTCACCATCCCCCAAACATGTTCTGCTTTCTACCAATGCCATACCTTTGCTCAAGCTGTTCCTCCAACTGGAATGTCTTTGTTCCCCACTCCAAACCCCCCATCCCATGCCTGCCTGTAAAAGGCCTGCCCTCCTGAAAGGACTGGTTCAAATGCTACTTTCTCTAAGAAACCTTCTCAGATCACCCTAAGATAATGAGTCTTTTATTTTCCCCTTACTCGTCTGCATGGCTCTGTCAGAGCACTTAAACTGGGTGAGAGTTCTCTGTTTACTGGTTTATTCTCTGTCTTACCTGCTGGATTCTGAGCTCTTTGAGGGCCCCATCACATAGATTTGGTTCATCTCTGAGACCCCAGAACTCATGCCCTGCTTCACAGAGTAAGCATCAGAAAATATTTATTGGATGAATGAATGAAATATTGTATTACCCCTTTGCCTATTATCGTTTTTCTTTTCCTTCCCTCCTCTCTGGTTTTTCACCATTACAAATGAGAAAGTATGACCTAGAGAGGGCATAAATTTAGATTCTCTGTCATGATACAGAAAAATGTAATAACATTGGACTAAGATTCAAGAAGCCCAGTCTAGTTCTGATTCACTGTTTGACATTTGGTGATTGATTTAACTCCCTGGCTCTCAATTTCTTTATCTTTTCAATGGAGTAGGGCATGAAAAATATTAGAGTTTATGATAAAATAGAATAATGGAAAGACAACCAGCTTCAAACAGACCTGAGTTTAAATCTTAGCTCCCCACTAATTAACCGTGAAAGTTATTATCTTTGAATTTCAGTTTCCTCATTTGTAAAATGGGAATTATGATTTTTACTTTTTAAGATTATGAATAATAAATGACCTGATAACCATAATTTGAAGTTTTATAAGCAATACCATATACTTGCAAATTATACCTTTTACCTCTAAAATCTCTCCCACCAAACACATGCTTTTTTTGCCACTGCAACCTTCCTAACCTCTTCACCAGTGTTCCCTGCTTTCAGTGTTTAATTTAGGCCAGTATCGACGAGAGGCAGTTAGCTACAAGAACTATGAATTCTTTCTTCCAGACAACATGGAGGCCTTACTTATCAGGAAGTAAGTATCTAACATTTTTGGACCTGTGCTGCCCACTGGCTAAGGGAGGGCTTTATTCAGATGATGCAGGAGTGGGACAGAGCCCCTTGGGTTAGCAAGGAGGCCCTCTTGACTCTCAAAGGGTGGCCTGGGCATTCCTTCTGCCATTTTACCCAAAGCCTGTTTCTGGTCAGAGTAATCTCCTGCTTAAGAACTTTAAACAGTCTCCTACATCTGACAGGAAAAACTGGAAACTTCTCAGCCTAGCATTTGAGAAAAGAGTCTCAATAGCTTGGCCCACTCCAGCCTCTCCAGTCTCATCCATTCAACCTCAAGGTCTCTCTTCTCTACAAGACTCTGAGCACTTGCTGAACAGAGCCTGTGTCTCATTTATTGATCCAAGCCCTCATTATAAAACTCTGCAAAGAATAACCACTCAATAGATTTTTGCTGAAATCATAAATACATTGTCAACATCACACCTGTACATGCACTTTTACCCATGCCAGGAGTGCCTTCTACTTCACAGACCATACATTCAGGTTCTAACTAGGTTCAAGAACCAGTTCAGCTTGAGCTCTGTTAGCTCAAAAGTTGGAGCCTTTAATATTATGGCTTCTGTCATTATTCAAGTTTTCCTGGGTATGCTACTTTATACTTGCCCCTAAGATGTACACAAAGAGCCATTTTCAACTGTGTGACCTCTCTGTGCTTGTCATGGTGCCTAGAACACAGGACACCCCGTGTAGATGTTCAATAGGACATCTGAGAGATGGTGCAAAATGTAATGCAGAAAAATAAAGAGGAATCCATCTTGGGGATAGGTCTTGTCTCTGTTTCTTTCTCCATCTTTTTCAGGCAATGTGTCCTGGCAGCCCTGAAGGATGTTCGTGACTATCTTAGCCGTGAGGAAGGTCATGTTGCGGTAAAGAAATTTGCATTTTTCCCTAGGGTTTCTGCTGGTAAGGAGATAGGTAATATATATTGAGCATTTACTGTGTTCCACACATTATTTTAAGTACTTCACATATATTAATTTCATTCCATCTTCCCTATGAGATAGATATTGTTATCATAGCCTAATTTATATCCCAAAAGAGGGCCAGCCGAGTGGCTCAGTTGGTTAAGAGCTCGCTCAAGAGTTTGAGCTCTGAGCAACAGCGGTTCTATTCCCGGCCCGAGCTGAGCAGCCGCTGAGCTGCCAACAGGTGGTAGGATGGCTCAGCTTAAAAAAATATTATATCCCTGAAGAATGGTACACAGAGAGATTAAATAATTCCCCAAAATGGCACAATGTGTGTGTGGCAGGCTACAACTGAAATCCAGGTGGTGTAACTCCAGAATCTACACTCTAAACCACTATACCTTCCACTCCATCCCCAAGAATTCAGCAGGACTACACTAGAATTTAAACTGCAGTACAAACATTTTTGAGTTCTGAGATTTACCTAATCATTTTAGCCAATTTAATCTCATAGATTCTTGAGGAAGGATTTGCAAAATCCTCAAATATACAAATTTTCCCATCTAAGGTGTTGAGGATGAGGAGTTGTTTCTTGTTCTTAAAGAAATCCAAAGTGATAAGGAAGGAAGAAGCCCTACCTAGGAAGTGAGAAATCAGTTCTAGCTCTGCTCTGTCAGCAACTCTCAGTGACCTTGGTTATAGCAACTCTTTCCTCTGAGACTTAGCTACTTCACCTGTAAAATGACCCTAATAAAAGCTCACAATCTTCCTCTTGCCTTACTATTATACCTATAGAGTCTGCTACATTTTTGGGTAGACAGCAGGGCTCAAGGAGTGCTTGAGAAATTGACACAAGCCAATTCTAAATCGTTCCTATTCTTCACTACCCTGTTCAAGTTCTAGCCCCTTCTGGTGCACCCCACTTAGCTGACCACAGGGATGATCAAAGAGTAGGTGTCTGTCCGCACCAGACCCACAGTAAGCCAATCTCATCTTCCTCTAGGTTTTTGATGCTACCAACACTACCAGAGAACGACGGTCACTGATTTTGCAGTTTGCTAAAGAACACGGTTACAAGGTACAGTACCACTCCCACTCTTCTCTAGAGCCTACTTATCCAGCACAATTCCCAGAGAAAGGCAAACCAGAGGAATCATAGGTGCCTAATTAGCTACCATAGACTCAACATTTTAATTTGGTTGACATTGCTTTCCTGATCATGGTTAGAAGCAGCAATATAGAACAGAACAGGAAAGGAGAGGTGCCACATTAGGTGCCACAAAATGATTGCTAAGTCTGACACTGTGGGGAGTGGGGTAGGGATGAGGAAATAAAAGAGAGAACCACCACAAAAACCATATATAAGAACTAAAAAACAGTAAACACAACAAAGGAAGCCATCAACAAAACAAAAAGACATCCTACTGAATGGGAAAACATATTCGCCAATGATACATCTAATAAGAGATTAATATCCAAAGCTTATAAAAAAAGTCATACAACTCAACACCAAAAACAAATAAACAAATAAACAATCCAATTAACAAATGGGCAGAGGACCTGAACAGACAGTTCTTCAAAGAGGACTTAGAGATGGCCAATAGACATATGAAAAGATGCTCAGCATCACTAATCATTAGAGAAATGCAAATAAAAACCACAATGAGATATCACCTCACACCAGTCAGAATGGCCATCATCAATAAATTAACAAACAACAAGTGTTGACAAGGATGTGGAGAAAAAAGGACCCTCATGCACTGTTGGTGGGACTGCAATTTTTTGCAACCCCTATGGAAAACAGTATGGAGTTTCCTCAAAAAATTAAAAATAGAGTTACGTATGACCCAGGAATGGAACTGCTTTATTTATCGAAAGAAATCCAAAGCACTAATTCGAAAATATATATGCACCCCTATGTTCACTGTAGTGCTATTTATAATAGCCAAGATATGAAAACAACCAAAATGCCCATCAATAGATGACTGGATAAAGAAATTGTGGTGTATATATATATACAATGGAATATTACTCTGCCATAAAAAATAATGAAATCTTACCATTTGTAACAACATGGATGGATCTAGAGGGTATTATGCTAAGTGAAATAAGTCAGAGAAAGACAAATACCATATGATTTCACTTATATGTGAAATTTAAAGTACTAAATAAATGAACAAACAAAACAGGAACAATCATAGATACAGAGAACAAACTGATGGTTACTATATGGGAGGAGAGTTGGGGGGCTGGATGAGAAAAGTGAAGGGACTAAGGAGTACAAATTGGTACTTACAAAATAGTCACAGGGATATAAAGTACAGTAGGGGGAAATGTAGTCAATAATAGTGTAAAAATTATGTATAGTGTCAGGTGAGAACTAGACTTATCGGGGGGATCACTTCATGAATTATATAAATATCTAACACTATTCTGTAAACTTGAAACTAATAAAATAATATTGAATGTCAACTATAATAAAAAATAGTCATGGGAATGTAAAGTACAGCATAGGGATTATAGTCAATAATATTGTAATAACTATTTACAGTGTAAGATGGGTAATAGACTCATTGGGATTATCACTTTGTGAGGTATATAAATATGTAATCACTGTGTTGTTTTGTAAACCTGAAACTAATGAAAAATAATAAGAAAAACAAATGCAGATGCAAGAAAAAAAAAAGAAATCTTGCCATTTGAGAACATGAATGGACCTAGAGGGTATTATGTATGCTAAGTGAAATAAGTTAGATAGAAAACGTCAAATACTGTATGATTTCACTTATTTGTGGAATCTAAAAAAAAAAAATGAGTAAACAAAACAAAACAGAAACAGAGCCATAGATACAGAGAACAAATTGATGATTGCCAGAGGGGAAGGAGAGGGATGGGAGGATGGGTGTAAAAAGTGAAAGGGAATGAAAAAAAAAGGTTTATTTGCAAAAAGAAAGAAAAGAACCACTGCTCCAGAAAATATTTTTAGCTAAATTAATTAGGTAAATTGGCACCAGGAGAATTAACTTCAGATGAAATGGTATAAGGTGAGCTAAATCCCCATCACCACCTTAGCATGTTACTTGCAAAAGATTGTCCATCTCTCTTGGTGCATTATGTCCTTTTAAGAACCTAATTCATTTTGTAGACCATGCTTATATTGTCTCACTTTTAGAAAAAGTAAAAACACAAAACAACAATCTGGAATCATTAATTTAGAGCCAATCTGCCTCATAAAACTCAAAATTCTGAAATCATTGTTGTCATAAATTATGTATACAATTGTGTTGTCAGAGATGCCTCTAGAAATGACTCAGAGCCACTGAGAAGGGACAAGCTATATTTGGCTCCTATCAAATGTAATTCTTTGCTGGAAATCTCTCTTCTATTTTTCTTATAGGTGTTTTTCATTGAATCCATCTGTAATGACCCTGGCATCATTGCAGAAAACATCAGGGTAAGGAGCACCAGTTACCTTTTCTCCTTACTTTGCCAAAGCTTAGATCATACCTAAAAATACCTCTATGAGATTATAAGAGGTATTCTTCCCCAAAATTCTTCTCCTGCTTCCTATAGGAAGCATTTCCTGACCATTGCAACCTACAATAATCCTATGAAATTAAATAAAGCCAACATATATAGAATCCTTAATATGCACCAGACATGAAGCTTGACTCTCATTGATTATTCAGAACAGACCTGCATGTTAGGAATGATTTCAATGTTGGAGAGAGGAAACTGAGGTCTCAAGAGGAGAAGTGACTTGTCGAGAATTTATAAAGCCAGGAAGAGGTAGAATTGGGACAAGACCTCAGGCTTGGCTATCTGCCTCAAAAGCTCATTATTCTGCTCCACAATTCATATCAGAGCTATCACTGCTCTTAGGTTCTAGGTATGTGGTCTAGAACTAGATCACTTACCACATTTTATTGTTCCTTATTTAATCAAATTACTGGAGCTCATGGACAGAAAAGGTCTTAAAAGTCATCTCCTTTAACCCTTCATCAGATACTGAAATCTCAGCTAAATGCTTGTCTGGATTTTCTTTTCATATCTGCAGTGACAAGAGGCTCATTGCCTTCATCAAATGCAGCCCAATCAAGCTGACATCTTCCTCTTTGTCATTTCCACTCATTGGTCCTATTTTTGCCTCTTGGGGCACAGAATGTGTCCAATCCCTCTCTTTCCTCTTCATCCATCCATCGTATATTCATCCATGTATTGATTCAACAGAAAATGAATCCATACACCTGTGCTGGGCCTTTTTGGGTATTAGAGACATAGAAATGGGTAGAGGAGGGTCTTGCCCTTGAGCACACAGCCTAGAGAGAGAAACTGACAAGTTTATAGGCACAGCTCTGTGAGATCAGTGCTAAGATGAAGGAACAAAGGAGGCTGTAGAAACACAGTGTTGAGGATGTAACATTGCATGGGAGGGGTAGGCTGTATCAGGAAAGGTTTTTCGGTGAAGGTAATAGCTGACCTGCATCTTGAAGAATGTATACAAATGTGGCAGGTGAACAATAGAAAATAAGGGAATAGCATATACTAAGTATGTCATCGCCAGGGATCTATAAGTAGCTTAAGTTAGCTAAAGCAAAGTGGGTGGAAGAATAGGGGAGCAATGGGAGATGAGAGTGAAGAAATTATTCGGGGCTCAATCATGACAAGCCATGAGTCACCCGCTAAACTATTTCATACTTTGTCCTAAAGGACATAAGGAAATCGTTAAAGGCTTTAAGCAAGTGAATTCCATGGTTAGGTATGCATCTTAGAAATATCATTATGGCTACAAGTATGGGGAATATATCAGAACCAACATGATTGTAGACAGAGCAGTCAGTCACAAAGCTATAATGAGCATCCAGGCAAGGGAAAATGAAGGCCAATTGGAGAGATATTTAGAAGACACAGTGGAGAAAATTTGGTGTCTGCCGAGAGGTGCGAAATTATAGAAAGAGACCCATCTAGAATGACTCTCAGATTCCTTTTAGGCTCAGCTAACTGAGTGGATGATAGTGCCATTCACCAAGATGGGGAATATGGGTGAAGAAGGTAGATATTGGGGAAACTGGAGATACCAGACCTTCAGAAATCTAAAGCCAACATACCATGTTCTCCCAGTAAATAATCAATACATGTAAGCCATTATGACCCTTGGTCAAGCTTTCCTGTTCTTCAACCATTTATCACATCACAATTTCTAGACCTCTTATAAATGTTCTTAAACAGAGTGTGCTCTAGAACTGAATATACTGTAACATACCTTGTTGGGCCAGAGATAAGTAATAAGGAATCACACAGTGCAGATTTTCTTCAATTGACTCATTTTATAAACTTGGGCAAGACCCTTTTTCCAAGTCTCAGTTTTGCCATCTTTACTTTGAGGGATGCTGTACTAAATCATCTCTAAAGGCCTTTTCCAAGGGCACTGTCAGAGTCTCTGTCTCACATGGCCCCTCTATCCTTCTCCCTTCTCCCAGCAAGTGAAACTCAGCAGCCCTGATTACATAGACTGTGACCGAGAAAATGTTCTGGAAGATTTTTTAAAAAGAATTGAATGCTATGAGGTCAACTACCAACCCTTGGATGATGAACTGGACAGGTAAGGGCCCACAACCCCAAAGTCCAGGTCTGGATCCTTAGCTCTGTTTTGATGTCCTATAGGACCTGGTGAAATTTCCTCCCTCTCTGGGCCTCAGCTTCTCTATCTGTAACATCAGGGATCTAGCTGAACTTGATGATCTGTCTTCAAGGGCCCTCCTAGCACTAATTATCAATGAGGTCATGATTTCTTGATGTGTAGGGTGTTCACAAGAGGATAGAAGTAGTGCTTTCCTGCGCAATATGGACAGATCAGGGGCATGATCTCTGGGGAAAAAAATGCCTCTTTCCTGTGGTTGTTGCTATTATTTTTTCAAAAGTATTCTTCACACATGGATGATACTTCAGTTTCCAAATATGTTCACTTCTTCCATTGAATCTTCTCAGCATCCCTGTAAATGAGGCTGAAATAGGTTCTGTGATCATACATTTCCAAGAACAGGAAATTGAGTCTTAGAGAGCTAAAACCACTTGCCCAAGCTCCCACCATAAGTCAATGGTAGAGCTAAGATTCTAACCACATATTCTATCTCCGAGGCATGTCTCTTCTCACAATGTCCATGTGCCTCTTCAATCAATAAGTATTTGGACCCTTTGGGCTGTGGTGTACATAGGGGGTGTAAATAAGGGCAAGAGGGGTGGGTTCTATCTTCAGATAGCTTTCATAGTGCCTTGAAATATGGGAAGACATGAAAAATTTGAAACTTTCATTCATAATACCAACTAAAGATAGGAGAGGTGCTAGCTGGCAGTACAGGAAAGATGTAAGTTTTAGACACAGGGTATTCCCAACGCCCTACTCTCCTAAAAATGGGTTGTGCTGAGAAAATAATTTCAGAGTCACTCAGACTCTTTGGAACCCAAGTGAGAAGGGTAAGAGGTTTCAAACAGTCATTACTGCCCCAAGAAGTTTAAAGAACATCCTCCCTGCTTTGTCCAACTGAAGTACTAAGAGATGAGCATTGTTACTGTCCTATTCCTTAGATAGGGAAACTGACACCCAGAGCAGGTCAAGGGCTTGCCTGAGGCCACACAATGAATCAGTAACAGAATATACACTCAAACCCTTATCTTCAAACTTCCAGCCTGGTTCTTCCCCTCCCACATCCCTGTATCATAAAAAGTATGACATGAGGCTTAGACAGTGCAAGGGGCAGGACCTTATGTACAATTATGAAGATTTTTCATTATGTAAGGACATTCAGGTCAAGGATACACTTGCTTTTCTCACCAAGGCATGTGTGCTGGAGTGTAACTGTTTCAATTTTCCACAAAAGCACCATAGGGCCTGGCAGCATACAATGAAAGAAGTTTGAAGGAGGGGAGCTGAGATGAAATAATGGCATTTAGAAAGCCCCTAACTGCAGGGCTGGGTGAGTGGCTCAGTTGGTTAAGAGCTCGCTCAAGAGTGTGAGCTCTGAGCAACAGGATCGCCAGTTCAATTCCTGACCTGAGCTGAGCCGCTGCTGAGCTGCCAACAGATGGCTCAGCTAAAAAGAATAAAATAATAATAATAATAATAATAATAATAGAAAGCCCCTAAACTTTGACCTAGATTCCTGCAGGTGTTCAGTTAATGCTCGATGAATCAGTTTGGGCCTGACAATGACTGTTTCTAAAGGTTGGGTTTATTAAATCATTTTTCCATCAACAGATATTTACAGTCCATGCATCAAGGCCCAGCCCTAAGCTGTACCCTAGGAAGCCAAAGAGGGAAGGGCTGTCCCTGCTCTGATAGAATGACCACTTGGTTGGGGAAGACAATGAGCAGTTGATCATAATTGTAGGGATGGTAAAACGAGTGGGCTGGAGGAACACAGAGGAGGGGACCCAGCCCAGCTTGGAGGAAAAGGTCTAGAAAAACAGACTTACCAAGTAGGTAGACTAGATTTGTTTAGGGCAACAGCAAAGCAGAGGCTACCAAAAATAAGAAAAAATGATTTTGAAAGCTTTTAATATTTTATATTTCCAGCATCAAGGTAGTCAAAATGGAAAAAAATAAATAAAACCAGAATTTAGTAGAACCACCTTCTCTTATTATACAGTAATATAGTTTATAATTTTTTTTATTTTAAAATATACATGATGGGGTTGGGCATTAGCTACTATAATACTTTTAGTATAAAACACTTCTAAATGACTTCACATGATCCTGGGCTCAAAGAAGCCTTCCTAGAGAGAGTGAATGTACTGACTGTTGAAGAATGGATGCATGGAGCTCAACTTTGGAAATCAGACAAGGAACACCTTTTCAAGCAAAGAGAACAACATTTTGTAATGGACTAGTTAAACTTTAATAAGAGTACAGGAGTACAGAGACTATCCTAGCAAAAACATGAAGGCTAGAGAAGTTATGAACATGGACATGGGACAGTGAGGTGAGGCCAAGTGAGGCCAGTGTAGGAAGGTACCTAGAATGTCAGACTAAGCTGAGGAATTTGGAAGATCTCTTAAAGCCACCAAGAACCTAGTGTCAGAAACAAATAGTAAGCAGGCAACAAGGCTACATCAGATATTTTCTACCCCTAAGCTCTGAGAGTCCTTGGACAGGTTGACCTTAGGCAAATCACTCCCTCTCTCTGTGTCAGTTTCCTCACCTGTAAAACAGAGATAATAATCTCTGCTTCTCAGGATGGTTATGAGGATTTATACACTTTGAAGTCCTCAGTGCCTGCCAGAAACCCCCCAAATGTTCAGCAAAGGAGTGCCCTTTGGAAACTATTGGACACAAGTGATAGGGATCGCATGATGAGCATGGTGCAGATAGAAAGGCCTTCTTTAGGAAGATCAGAGAGGCTTTCTAAAAGCAAACCCATTAGCCACTGCCGTACCTGCCTTGGGTTAGTGCAGCTATTTTCATCCACTTGGTTTTGTTACTGTGCACATAGGGTTGCTGGTATGTCACCCCATTGTCCCAGCCTCCCCCACCTCTTTCCAGGGATCACCCTGAACTGCTGACAATCAAACAATTAAAGAATTAATGCTTGACACAGCAGGTGCCTCCATAGTCTTGCTCCATGATAAGTCTTCTGATAAGTCAGTGTCCCCATTTTGAGCTCCTCTGCAGACAGGTTGTTGAATAATTTGATTATCACTCTGTGTATAGTTATTAGTTCATCACAGAGAACAGAAACGAGGGAATGAAAAGGGGGCTTGAAGCAAGGACCAGAAGTTCTCCACTGATATTATGAACAACCTCTGTATCCCCACAGCCCAGTACTTGGCACACCTTAGGGTGAGTGACTATTTGTGGAATAGGTGTTGAGCATTGATCATGCATTTTTATGTTCAAGACTGGCCTAATTCCCAAAGGGCAAATGCTGAGTCTCACCCAGAGCACAATGCTTAGAATAGACAAGGGTATGTTTGTTGACTGCATAGAAGATAGGGAAAGAACCCAAACCACCCCTCCGCCCCCATTCTGAGTGAGGAAAGGGAAATACACATACACACACACAGATACAAGTGCACGCAGATACAATCTGGCAGCAGCCTGTAGAGTGTCAAGCACAATATATCATAGCAGAGGTTCAAAGAACAGAGAGGCAGAGCTCACCTCATGATTTGAAAGGATGAGGGAGTGGACATGTCAGGAGCTGCCAGTGACATGTTGGCGTCACCCAGTGGCACAGAGGGTTACTGCTTCTCTGAGTATGTCAGGAGTGTGAACCACAGACAAGAGAACCCCAGATGCCTGGAATGTGATAAGTGAAGGTGAAAAGACAACTTGGCTCAAGCTGAGACAGATGAAAGGTGACAGAAGGAGATGGTAGTGGGTAGTGAGCTCCTGAAGGTGGCTAGGAGCCAAGTCTCTAGAACAGATACCCAATACAGGGCAAGGCATGGCATCTTGTTAGAGGAAAGGTATGAGAGCTGGGTTCTGGAGGAGGCTTGAAGGCAGGGTGTGGTTGGGGCTTTCTCTTGGGATTAGCCTTTCTACCATCAGCCCCTGAGCTGCCCTTGCTCTTGCTTGGGCTGGCCCAGCCACCTGTCCTACATCAAGATCTTCGACGTGGGCACGCGTTATATGGTGAACCGAGTGCAGGACCACATCCAGAGCCGCACAGTCTACTACCTCATGAACATCCACGTCACACCCCGCGCTATCTACCTGTGCCGCCACGGTGAGAGTGAACTCAACCTCAGAGGCCGCATCGGAGGTGACTCCGGCCTCTCAGTTCGGGGCAAGCAGGTAGGGCGGGCCCATGCACCCTGAGGCATTGGCCGAGCTGAGCCAGCTGGGCCGTGGATGGGTGGGGTGACCACTGCCTGGGCCTGGAGAATGGGGGAGGGGGGATGCAGTGACAAGGTCGAAGCAGGTTCTGGTCACTTCCATGCTTTCACTCTGTCAGCAACTCAGTCTTGACCCATCTTGAATGGCCTTCATGTGCCCACAGCATCTGCAAGTCTGAGAGCTTGATCCTGGCCCTCCAGGCCTGCTCAGATCTGGCTGCTCCTTCAGCCCCATTACAATGAGCACCCTACATTCCTGCCTGACTGGTCCCCTCGTGTTTCTCACAACTCTGTGTGTTCACTTGCGCAGTGTCCCCACCTAGGCTGCCCTCGTCTGTCAGCTGATGACAATCACTTGCAAGACTTGCAAGGGTACACTGAAGTGACCCACGCTTGAACCCATTTTCTCCTTTACTCAGGGCTGATGCTATATTTCGCCACCACTATACTGCAGGTCATCACAGTATCAGCACTTGTCCCCTACTAGTTACTACTTCTTTCCTGCCCTCCTTCCCACACCCACACCCAGGTTGCAGCTGCTGCTCCATGGTCTGACCCAGGAAGCCCTCCCCTGTCCTCTCCTGCCCCCGGGCAGCTCACCAAGCCCCAGCCTCCGTTTCTCCCAATACTGGCCCATCTCCGACTCTATGGCATGAGTCTCTTCTCTCCAGCCAAGCATAGTGACCTGCACATTACGGGTGCTGGCTCAATCAAAGGACACATTTTCCCCAGTGTTCTGCCCTGGGCCTGGGTTTGTCAGCACAGGTTCTTGCTAGGGGATCAGTTGGTGACGGGACAAGCGGGAAGTGTGACGCAGGAGGGGGGGCGTCCTGATTTATTGGACAGTTGTGCACAGGCATGGTGCCATCTGCTTCCACGTGGGCCTTATTTACTCTTCACAGCAGCTCTGTGGGGTGGGCATTACCACGGCCAGTTTATGGATGAGGAAGCCGCGGCCCAGACAGGAGTGGAGAGCGGCCCCAGGTCACACAGCCAGAGCCAGGGCTGAAAACCAGGCCTTCTTACCAGCCCCTCAGCGTCCCGTCCTTGTAAAGGTGGTGGTGTCCTACGCAAGACACCTCACCAGAAAGCCCTTCCTCATGACTCTGTTTTCTGTTGCCTTCAGACGGGCAGCCTCCCATTGAGGCGGACTCTGACCTTTGACCCCCAGCTCTCTTGCTCCTCAGAGCAGAGCCAGAGGCCCCCGGAGGCATCATCCCCGTGTCATGGCAGCACCTGCAGCCAGGGCTCTCTTGGTAGGGGACGGCCACGGCCCTGCCCACACAGCTCAGCACCCAGTTAGGACAGGTGGCCGTCTCCACATGGTGTGCCTCCCTCCACAGAAACACGTGCATGTACACACATCCCCCTGGCCCCAACCTTCAAGCTCATGGGCACAGTGCACTGTGAAGGGTTTCTAAATCACTTTCCCATTGACTGTCACCCACATCAGTCACAGCAGCTCTCACCTACTGTGTGCCAGGGAGTGCTCCAGGTGCTCCCCATCCACTATCTAATCAGCCACTCGGAGACCAGGCTGGGTGAGCTAATGCTGTTCGCATCCTACAGACATGAGATACAAGGCCCGAGAGGGGCAGGGACGCGTTCCAGGGCACACGGGGACTGTGTAAGGGAGCTGGAGTTTACCTCCCAGGCAAGGGCTCCTTCCACCAGAGCACACTGACTGCTGCTCACAATCCTTAATTAGAATGTGTGTACACAATGCCCATATTTATATGTATAAATGTGTGCCTGTGTCTATGCATCTGTTCCTCACACACCACCCATGACCAATAACATGCCTATACGCAGAAGAAGAGTGAATCACTTGCTCGTCTGGGCTCCCACAGCCCTTTGTGGTTCCTCTTAGTGCTGTCATTGTTTCCCCCAGTGGACTGGCCGTGTCTTGAGAGTAGGAAACCCTATTACCCAGCACAGGGCCACACACACTCACTACGTATTTGAATGACCTTAGAGCCTGGATACTAGTACCCCTGCTCAAGCAATGACAATTCAAAGTGTCAAAGATAATTGTCCCCAAAATCCCACCCACCACTTCTAGACTGCACTATGAGTACCCAGAACCCTAGAAATTCCTGCCCTTGTGGTCCAGATTCTGTTTGTAGTGCTTGCATGAACTTATCTCAGAGCCTGTCCACCTGAGAGTGGGTCACATCACAGGAGTGTTCACCCCTGGGTGAAGGGGTAGCCAAAGGTTCACTTCTTGTAGGTCATGGGGATCAGTGAAGCTATGGTGTGGACAGGACCTGGTCATGTGACTGAATTATCCACAAACATGTACTCAAGGCACCCACGAGTACAAGATGGAGGCAGGAAGAGAAGAGAGATGGACTGTGGGTGGAGTGCCTCCATATGTACTCATGTCCCAGTCTCCACAAATGTTAGAGGTAGGCTGTTTGAATGAATGAATAACCAAGTAGGGAATTCAGTGAGCAAACATCAGTGAACAAACACACACATGTATACACATATGTACCTATAAACACACATAATCTTTTCTATTCCCTTCATCCTTAGTCACGTGAGCCAAAGTATGCCGTTTTTATAAATTGGAAACATTTAAACTCTGTGCTCTTGCTTGTTCATCATCATTTCACTGTTTGTGACAGATCTGAGCTTGTTCTCATGGCTACCCTGTCTACTTTCATGTCTCTCTTTCTCCCCTTCTCTCCTCCTCTGCACACCCCCACACACTTTCCAGTATGCTTATGCCCTGGCCAACTTCATTCAGTCCCAGAGCATCAGCTCCCTGAAGGTGTGGACCAGCCACATGAAGAGGACTATCCAGACAGCTGAGGCCCTGGGGGTCCCCTATGAGCAGTGGAAGGCCCTGAACGAGATTGATGCGGTGAGATGTAGGGGGATGGAGCTTCTGGTGGGTGGTGGGACTTCACTCTGGGCTTAAATCCTGGATTACCTCTGCTCTGGCTCCTATGGGTAACCTAATTAATTCAACAAACGTTTCTCGACAACCAGCCATGCGCCAGATACTATTCTGTGTGTTGGGGATACAGAGAAGGCCAGAACAGACAAGTTATCTGCCCTCATGGAGCCCAAAAGCAGACAGTAAATAAGACATTGCATCTCATGTGACAAAGCTTGTGAGAGGGGAAGTACAAGGGACTATGGAGGCTCAGAAGGTGAAGGCGCTCCTGACAAGACTTGGTGGTGGGAGATTTACAAGAAAAGCTTCCTAGACAAAGCTAGAGGTGAGACAAGAAGCAGGCAAAATGGGCTGGGAGAGAGAGAATCAATTTTTTTAAAGGTTTTTATTGGGGAATTGAGGGAAGGGGAACAGACAAGTTGCTGCCGTTTTGTTCTTCAGTCTAGTTGTGGAGGACGTTGCTTCACTGGCCCAAGTTGGCACCATCATTGCGCTCTTCCGGGGCGAGGCAGATCAGTCACCGGCTTCTAAATGGCTGCTCACTGTGGCTGCTGGCCGCTCACGCTGGCTGCTGGCTACACACAGTAGCCCATGGCAACCCACTGCCACAGGGGCTGCAGCCTATGCCGTCGCCGGCGACTCACAGCAGCCCAGCTCCAGGTTGAGCTGTTGTTGTTCAGCATCTTAGCTGTGGAGGGCAGTGTCACTGGCCTTCATATGTGGGATCCGAACCGGGGCCCTCTGGCGTCCACAAGCCAGTTCTTAACCATCGCGCCACTCGGCTGGCCCAAGAGAGAATAAATTTAATTTCAGGGACAGGGAACAGCTCATGTGAAGGCCTAGAGGTGAAAAAAGAATGGCTTGTTCAGAGAACTATGGAGAGAATGGCAGAGAGGCTGGAAGAGTGATTGTGAGGTCTGGAGATCAGGTTGGAAAGGAAGGCAGCTCAGGACTTTATATCATATTGAGGGATTTGGATGCTGCCCTAAAAGTGGGATGCCATCTAAGTCAAGGAGGAGTGGCTTGAATGTGATTCACGTTTTCTTTTTTTAACAAAAAATCCCTCTGGCCGTGTTTGAAGACTAGGTAAGAAGAGGGCCAGAATGAGCATGTGGGCCAGGATGGAGATGGCTGCATTAGTCCAGGCAAGAGATGCGGGTGTGATGGGCCCAAGTAGCGGCATTGCAAATGCAATGAAGAAGGACTTGAGGACTATTTCCTCTGACCCTTGTGTAATGGCAATCTCTCTTCAGGGTCAGGTTTTCCCATGAGCTCGTTGAGAAGACATAGCTTCTTCTCCATTGTCTCACCTGCACTATAGATATACTAACATCATGTAGCAGCACACAGGTTATGGTTGTTAGATCTCAAAATAAAAGCTTCACCACAGGTGTCGATAACTTGCATGCAGGTAAGTTAATGTGATTGCCTATTAGATATACTTCTATAAATACAGACAAGTATATGTGTGTATACATACATATATATGTGCTTAACTATAGATGTACAGAGACACATACTTAGAAGAGAGATATATATAGCATTGTTCTACACATCACATAAATTTGCTATAAAATACATGCACGTAAATATGTAAGCTCTTCATGAGCGTTCAGTTATGGTTTGTTTCTGGCACATGCATGATATAAACATTTGTTGGATACTTACTTTGTTTCACCACTGGGGTGGTGCTGGAGTCAGAAATTGGTTCCTGTCTTCACTGAGTTTTCAGGCTAAACAGTGTAGACCAAAGAATAAACAAGGAATACAAAACAGCATGTGTGATACTGGCTCTGACAAGTTAGACTGTGGCTGCACAGATGTCAGGGCAGGATATCTGACCCAGCCAGGATCTACCTGGAGGAAGAAAGTGATGCCAGTATTAACCCGGAGGGTTAATAGTGAGCAAGGTAGAGAGGATCAGGAATGGTGTGTCAGGCAAGGAGAGCAGCATGAGCAAAGAGGGTATTGTATGTGCAGAGCTGCTAAGGTTGTAGCAGGGGGGACTAAGAGGGAGGAAAAAGAAATGGAGTTGAGAGAAATTTAGGAGGTAGAACCTCAGCAATTGGTTATGAGGGAGGGGGGAGAGGAAGAAACAAGAATTTAAAACGATGCCTAAGTTTTTGGTTTGTTTTCCATGGCAATAATATATTAATAATTAGTTCCATTGACTGAGTCTTTAAAATGTACCTTGTACATCCTGTATTAGTTGGTTTTTTACATATGTTATCGCTAATATTCAAAACACACTTGTAGGGTAGTTGTAATTCGCCTCATTTTGCAGATGAGGAAAATAAAATTCAGAGAGGTTAGGCAATTTGCCTTACGTCAATAAGGAGTCAGTGACAATTTCCACAGGCGACAGGTTCCCAGCATGCCTCAGAATAGAAAGTGAAAGCCAATCTGGAAGGACCTTGTGCATCCAGTATGGTGCACTTTTTCCCATGGGCAGTGTCAGTTGGAGACGTTTGACAATGCAGAGCTATTTGTGGGCCGGGGCAGAGGTGAACCTCACCCATAAGGCAAGCCTGGTAGATGGCTCAAAAGACAACAACCAGAGTTGGCTGCTTCCCCTACAGGAGGATCTAATTGGAATCCACACAACCAGAAGGAAACCTTATAAACCCAACACCGCTTCCTTCCCTCACCAACAGCCACCTCACTTCCATGGATTTCTCAGTGGACTTGGAGCTCTCATGTGTTCCTGAGGAACATTCTCTGAGCTCCCAATTCCTTCTTTGGGTGAGAAGAGTGCATCTCTCCCAGACCCACTCTGAAACCATTAGGAATTTACTAATTCTTGCCTTCTAAAATGTCTGTGGATACCTGTTTCTTTATCTACCAGAGATCCTGGAGCAGAGGTAGGGGCAGGAGGGATGAGAAACGCTATGAAATGAGATAACCCTGCTGTGGATGTGCACGCACATGTGTACTTGCATGCATAGTCACAGACACCCACCACAAGTATGCTTACAGTCACAGACATGCACTTCATAGATACATGGACCCACTAGTCAGACACAGGCTCCCTCTCAGACACATCTGATCACACCCACACCATACACACATGCACATACACACTCACAGATACACCTAGAGCTACATATGGACACAATCACAGTCACCATTGACACATAAGCAGTCTTTGCATATATCTACATCACATGGACACAGACGCATATCATGGATACATACACATAGCCTCAAGCATATTAGCACAAATTCACACAAACCTCAAACAGGCACACAGATATTCACACATATACACCAGAGACATAATCAGGGACATAAACACTCAGACAGACACACATGCCACAGACACACTGAGACAAACATGGAAAGACAGACCACAGAAACACTCACGTAGGTATATTCTCAGATGCTCAGACACCCTGTACAAACACGTACTCACCCAAGCACACTACATATTATGAGACAAACAAAAAACAAACAAATACATAGTATAAGTCCCTAAGCATACCACAGGTACACATCATAGGCATGCTGCACACACACATACAAACACAATCACAAAATCCTTCAGCCCATATATTTATAAAAATACATATATATGTACAATGTATACCTACAAACCTATCAGGACAATCATATAGAAACACGACAGATACCCATCATACACTCATCCTGAACACACTTATACACAATCCCTCACTCTCACATCTGTACATCCACACACCTTGTGTCATGCATGCATGCATGTGCGCGTACACACACACACACACACACACACACACTCAGACAACAGGCACAAACCTAGAGCTGTGTTCACAGAAATGCAGATGCTACTTTTCTACAATCATTGGTCTCAAAACTATGGTAAAGGCTGTGTGGATTTGCCTTGTGAATACTTTTGTCACCAAACAATTTTCCTCAGGGTGTCTGTGAGGAGATGACCTATGAAGAAATCCAGGAACACTACCCTGAAGAATTTGCACTGCGGGACCAAGATAAATATCGCTACCGATATCCCAAAGGAGAGGTAAAGTTTGAAGTGTGGACTGACTCCTAGAACTCCTCTCCAGTATCTCCATTCGAACTGCCAGAATTCCACAGTTTCCTAGATAGCTTTAGAAACAGGATAAAGCACATTTTGCAGCAACTGCCATCCCACAAAGCACATGATTAACTGGCCCTTGGCTGTCCCAGATTTTTGCTATAGGCAACAGCTTCCTTTTTAAAAATAATTGTTTTATTTTTCAATTACAGTATTATATTTTTCAATACAATATTATATTAGTTTCAGTACAGTATTATATTAGTTTTAGGTGTACCACATAGTGATTAGACATTTATATAATTACAAAATGATCACCCTGATAAATCTGGTAATCCCTGGACACCATACTTAGTTATTACAATATTATTGACTATATTCCTTATACTATACTTTACACCCCTATGACTATTTTATAACTATAAATTTGTACTTCTTAAAACCTTCCCCATTTTCAACCCCCCCAAACTCCAGGTAGCACCATCAAAATGTTCTCTATATCGATGAGCTTATTTCTGCTTTCTTTGTTTGTTTATATTGTTCTTTAGATTCCACATATAAGCAATACAACATTGCATCTGTCTTTCTCTGTCTAACATACTCCACTCAGCACAATACACTCTAGGTCCATCCATGTTGTTGCAGATGGCAATATTTCATTTCTTTATGGCTGACTAATATTCTATTATACATATGCACCACCTCTTCTTTATCCATTCATCCACTGATGGACACCCAGGTTGCCTCCATATCTTGGCCATTGTAAATAATTCTCCAATGAACATATGGATGCACATGTCCCTTCGAAGTAGTGTTTTGCATTTCTTCCGATAAACATCCAGAAGTGGGATTACTGGATTCTTCTTTGTCTCTTGTTATAGACTTTGATTTAAAGTCTATTTTGTCACATGTAAATGTTGCTACTCTAGCTTTTCATTTTCTTTTCCATTTTTATGAAAGATCTTTTCCATCCCTTTACTTTCAGTCTGTGTGTGTCTTTCAATCTGAAGTGAGTCTCTTGTAAGAAGCATGTGTAAGGGTATTGCTTTCTTATATATATATTCAGCCACCTTATCTTTTTTTTCCCCTATAAGTTAAATGGATCCTTACTTTATTTATCTTTTTACATGTTTTTTCAGTTACAGGTGACATTCAATACTATGTTATATTAGTTTCAGGTGTATAGCATAGTGGTTAGACATTTGTATAATTTATGCAGTGATCTCCCCAACTAGTCTATCAACAATTACTTTAAATGTAAATGAATTAAAGTTTTAATTGGAGCATTTAATCCATTTACATTAAAAGTATTTATTGATACATATATAATTATTGCAATTTTGTTATTCATATTTTTTAATTTTTATTAAATTGATTGGGGTGACATTGGTTAGTAAAATTATGTAGGTTTCAAGTGTACATTTCTATAATACATCATCTATATATTGCATTGTGTGTTCACCACCCAGAGTTCTCTTTTCATCACCATATATTTGAGCCCCCTTTCCCTCTTCTATTACCCCCTTCCCCCATACCCTCTGGTAACCACTAAACTGTTGTCTGTGTCTATTAGTTTTTGTTTCTTTGTTTGTCTTGTTCCTTTGTTGCTTTCAGTTTTGTATCCCATATATCAGTGAAATCATATGGTTCTTGACTTTTTCTGTCTGACTTAATTTCCCTTAGCACAATAATGTCAAATCCATCCATGTTGCCACAAATGGCAATATTTCATCTTTTCTTATGGCAGTATAGTATTGTATTGTATATATGTACCACATCTTCTTTATCCAATCATCTATTGAAGGAGACTTTGGTTGTTTCCATGTCTTGGCCACCATAAATAAAGCTGCAATGAACATCAGAGCACATAGTATATCTTTATGGATAAAAGTTTTCAGATTTTTGGGGTATACACCCAGGAGAGGGATTGCTGGATCATGTGGTAATTCTATTCTTAATTTTTTGAGGAACTTCCACAATGCCTTCCATAGTGGCTGCACCAATCTGCATTCCCACCAAGTGTATGAGGGTTCCTTTTTCTCCACAGCCTCTCCAACACTTGTTATTATTTGTATTGTTGATGATAGCCATTCTGACTGGTGTGAGGTGATATCTCATTGTGGTTTTTATTTTCATCTCTCTCATGATTAGTGATGTTGAACATTTTTTCATATGTCTATTGGCCATCTGTATGTCCTCTCTGGAGAATGCCTATTCAGGTCCTCTGTCCATTTTTTAATTGGATTGTTTGTCTTTTTGTCATTGAGTTGTATGAGTTCCTTATATATTTTGGATATTAGCCCCTTATTGGAGGCATTGTTTGCAAATATCTTCTCCCACTCGGTTGGTTGCCTCTTTATTCCATTATTCTTATATTGCTCTTTCTGATGGAGTCAGATAGTTCTTATAGAGTTTTCCATTGCTTTTAATTCTCAAGTCTCTTCTTCTATCTGCGTCATTTCCAGATTTCTATCTTTGACATTACTAATTCTTTCCTCCATCTGGTCAGCTCTATTTTCTAAGCTAGCTATATCATTCTTCATCTCTATTATGGAGTTCTTCAGTTCCAGAATTTCTATTTGGTTCTTTTTAAAAATTTTTATCTCTTTGAAAAAGTATTCATTTAGTTCATTGATTTTATTACTGAGTTCATCAAACTGCCTACCTGAGTTTTCTTGCATCTCGTTGAGTTTTTTCAGAACTGCAATCTTGAATTCTCTGTCATTTAAGTCACATATTTATATGTCTTCAAGTTTATTTTCTGGAGATCTTTCATTTTCTTTCTGAGCTGCCTTTTTACCTTGGTTATTCATAGCAATTAATGGATTATTTCTCTTCCTGAGCATCTATGGGAGTGAATTCTGCAGCAGGTTGGAATGAAGTCGTGTTTCTTTTGCTTTCTAGTAGATTGTGCTGGAGCATTTTATTTTCTCTTACCCTGTTCTGCCTTCTCGGACAGCGGGAAATTTCCTGGAGAGGTGGGCTTCTCCTCTGTGACCAGGTCACCTCAGTCTCAGCACACCACCCCTGTGGGAGGATGTGGTGGGCAATGGGGTTCTGAGCCCCTGAAATCCCACTACTGCCCCTGCAGCCAGATGTGTGTATCTGTGTGCCTCTGCTGGGATCAGCCACAGAGGGCAGGTCTGGGTTGGGCTGGGAAAAGCAGCTGATGCATTTGTGGCTTTGTGCTTCTCTGAGTAATGACAAGTGCCAGACCACAGCTGCCTAGCCCCTATATTTTCTCCTTTGTCACTGGAATTAGCCTCAGAGTGTGTCTCTGCTCAGGAATTGTCTCTCCAGTCTCAGGGATGTAGATATACTACTCTTTAATCTGATACTGCTACTGTTTTTTTTTTTTCTGGAGCCTGTTGCTAACAGTGAGAAGATGTGGGGGAGGTGAGCTCTAGGAGGGTAGGAGGAGGCGGCTGCTTTCTGCCTGGCCGTGAAGGCTGTTAGACTGCAGTTGTCATACTTTTGTAATTGGTCTTTGCCCTCATTGCTGAGTTCAGCCATATTATATGCTGATTTCTCAGGCAGAATTGCTGGGGCCACAGAGAGTGCAGCTGCAATCTGAATCCTCCCTTCTCCCGGGACCACAGTGAGCTCCAGGCTGCATCCTGTGGCACCCATCTCTGCACTTTTCCCTTCCCTTCTCCCCTGTTCACCCCAATTCACCCACCTTCAGATTTTTCAATGAGCTGATCTCTCAGACCTGTTTGTGTGTTGCATCGGGAATCCTTTGTTGAATTATAGCTGTTCAACTTGCTGTATCTTCAAGGGGAGAGATCAAAGAGCACCTCTCATGCCACCATGTTTCTGACATCACCATTATTCATATTTTTCATCTCTTTTTCTTCTCCTTCCTAAAGAAGTCCCTCTAACATTCCTTGTCATACAGTTTGGTGGTGATAAACTCCTTTAGCTTTTCCTTGTCTGGGAAACTCTTTATCTGTCCTTCAATTCCAAATGATTACTTTGCTGGGTAGAGTGATTTTGGTTGTAGGTCCTTGCTTTTCATCATTTTGAATACATATTTCATACTAATCCCTTCTGGCCTGCAAAGTTCCTGTTGAGAAATCAGCTGGCAATCTTATTGAAGCTCCCTTGTCAGTAACTAGTTGCCTTTCTCTTGCTACTCTTAGGATTCTCTCTTTGTCTTTATTCTTTGCCATTTTAATTATAGTGTGTCCTCATGTGGGCCTGTTTGGGTTCATCTTGCTCGGGACCCTCTGCACTTCCTGGGTTTCTATGTCAATTTCCATCTCCAGGTTAGGGAAGTTTCCTGTCATTATTCCTTCAAATAGTTTTCAATTCCTTGCTATCTCTCTTCTCTCCTTCTGGTACCCCAATGATGCAAATGTTGGTATGCTTGATGTTGTCCTAGAGGCCCCTTAAACCATCTTCATTTTTTTTGGATTCTTTTTTCTTTTTGCTCTTCTGATTGGGTGCTTTCTGCTACCTTCTAAATGGCTAAGTTGATCCTCTGCTTCATCTAATGTACTCTTCATTCCCTCTAATGTATTTTTCATTTTAGTTATTGTATTCTTTATTTTTGATTGCTTCTTTTTTATATTTTCTATCTCCATTTTTATGTTTCCTATTTCTATGTTGAAGTTCTCACCAAGTTTATCTCCTCTTCCACTAAGTTCATTGAGCATCCTTATAACCAGTGTTTTGAACTCTGCATCTGGTAGATTGCTTGTCTTTATCACGTTTAGTTTTTGTTGTTGTTGTTTTTTGGGGTGTTTTTCCTTGGAGCTTTGTTCTGTTCTTTCATTTGGAGCATTTTTCTTTGTCTCACCATTTTGGCTGCCTCCCTGTATTTGTTCGTATGTATTAGGTACCACTGCTATGTCTCCTGACCTTGGTAGAGTGGCCTTATGTAGTAGGTGTCCAGTGGGGCCCAGTGGCACAGTCTCCCTGGTCACCTGAGCAATGTGCTCCAGGTATGTCCCTTGTGTGGGTTGTGTGTACCCTCCTGTTGT